CGTTTTCTTTTGCTTCTTTTTGGTTTGCGACTTTGTATCTCCACCTCCATACTTTTCTTTAAACTGCTTATCGTCTAATCTCCGGAATAAATACTCGGCCTTTCCCAATTTATGTTCAGGATAAATATCAATCGTCCAAGAATCAGGAATAGTACGTGCTGGGACGTTAAGCTGACGTAGAATGGATTCACTTGTCGATGGCATATAGGGCTCAATCAATGCAGACAACAAATATATTATGTTTATCGTGGCACCAATAACCGCTGCACACTTTTTGGGAGTTTCGGCAAATAAAGTGTTATCAAGCTTGGACTCTTGAAGATAGTGGTTTCCCAGGTGAGACAATTCCATCGCCTTTTCTAATCCAGCTCTAATCTTAACATTCTCCATAGCCTCCAAATATTTAGTTAATATCTCGTTGACACTTTTAGTGAGTGTTTGCTCATCTTCCCCATCCATGGTAAAATCGGGCAAAATACCATTATATTTTGCAATAGTGAATTTAACGACTCGATTGACAAAGTTACCCAGATTTGCAAGTAATTCGGTGTTGTTTTTTGTAATAAATTCTTTCCATGTAAACATGGAATCGCTAGTCTCTGGTCTAATTGACAGAAGATAATATCGCCATACTGACACGGGTATTCCAGTGTCCTTGACATCATCGCCAAATACGCCAATGTTACGTGATTTAGAAAACTTGGTATTCTCGTAATTCAGATATTCTATGATTAAGAGAAAATATTAGCATTAATGCAAAAGATAAAGCATGGTTTTCAATTCGTATACTCAAATTTTGCTAATGACAAATGTCCTTTAGGTGTACCTGTTGTACTCAAATGATGCAACAGCGTCCAAGTCTCTCCCGTACCAATTAGAGTACTAGGAAACATGACAGTGTGAAAAGGCACGTTGTCCTTCCCCATAAATTGGTACAATTTTACGTCTTCGGGATTCTTCCACCACTGTTCCCATTGGTCAGTATAATTTGCAGTTATCGACAAGTAACTGTTTCCAATGAAGAAACGGACAGTTAGTATTTTTGATCGATGTTCAAATGTGAATGGATTCCCACTTACCCAATAGGGGCGTCGAACCACACATAGAATACTTTGTCTTTCATGCCTTCCAGAGGTACCTTGGTGCCCCATTGCAAATCACGCGTGATACATCGTGGTCTGAGACCTTCACGAAGCCAATTCTGGGTAATCGTCTTACTATTTAGAGACCATTTCCCTTCAGTACTGGCGTCCTCTATCCATCGCTCAGTGGGACCTTGAAGCGTATTCAAATTAAGAAACATATGGCGCGATTCCCGTGTAATCGGAGCATTCCCATCTTGCTGACAGCGTGGATTTATCAACTCGATAGCGTTGAGAAGTTGTCCGCAAGAGTCGCATTGGTCCCCTCGAGCATCCTACATAGAAAAAAAATTCTGAAACGTTAATGAAGATTATTACTATGGTCGAACTTGATCTGTCTGTCGAAACGCTGCGTTGATAATCTTTAGATTTCTGACAGAAGCTGCATTCAAAACAAGTCACACACATATACAAATACGAGCACACGTACCACATAACCACACTTTGGGCAAGTACCTTCAACGTAACGATCAGCAAGATACCTGCGAAGCAGAAA